AATGGAATGTCCGGGTCGTTGAGCTCACAGAAATATGGTTGAGCGCAATAATAGCGGACTCGACCGTCATGCTCGTGAACGAGTGCTGCTTGTACAGAGTGGACTACTCATGTTTGCTTGTTTATTTCACATTGAATATTATATACACATACATAGAACTCAATGCTAATTACGGTCACAGTATCCATACAAACGTAAAATTATCTTGTACCTAAATAAATAAAAAAAAAGAGTAACTGTTGAGTTTCTTGCGGATTCTTCTCAACAAATAACAATATTCCGAACCTAGCAGTAGAAACATAGAAAAATAACGTTTGAAATAGCTTGTAAATAATAATATATTAATTTAATAAAAATTATTTCTTTTCTATACTATTCTATTTAAATATAATACGATATTTGAGATAAATATTTTCCTTTATCAGCTTATTACATAAAAAAAATACTGTCAGTCAAGAAAAAATATGATTAAAAATAAGAAAACAAAAAGTGAAGTGGAGCCCATTGCAGAGTCCGTCTGAGAGAGATCGAATCTAGGTAGACAAGTACTTCTTTCGATTTACTCGAATCGTATAGTAATGCATTCAAAATTTTATTTCTTGAATATACTTTAATTCGGGATTAAACACCTAATTTTTCGTCACCATTGAGGTCGTAATACATACGAATTTAGACCCTCGTCCTTTTCGAAGTAGATTCTATTTCACAAAAAAAAAATACCGACTCAGTCGTGGTAAAATTTGTAACTTTTATTTAAAAACCAAACTCTTTAATGATTTTAAAGAAATTCTATGTAACCAATCTAAATATACTTACAAATAAAAAAAAAAATCCAAATTAATTTATGAATGGCAAAGTTCTGAGGTAGAAAACATAAAATGAAACACAATCACAATTTATTTCACATAAAAAAATACCGACTCAGTCGTGGTGAAACTAGTAATTTTTATTTAAAACCAAACTTTAAAATGGCGATAATGAGATTCTATGCAACCAATCTAAAGGTATATCCTTACAAATAAAAAATATCCAAATTAATTTATGAATGGCAGAGTTCTGAGGTAAAAAACATAAAATTAAACACATTCGAATTGTGAACCTCCTTCTTTTTTTGAAGTAAATAACTATAGATGGCAGAATTATAATTTATCACTTATAAATACATTGTAAGTGTACACTTGTTAGTGATATTGACGTTCGAAAACACCCTAATTGATAACACGCGTGACAAAGAGCAACGCGGCTCCTGCCAGCCTATGCATGGTACATGATATTATTTAAAACACGGTGATAGATTAGTTTTCACTGTGGCACGTGTCCATTATGTACCTACCGAGTGAATTGTACATTTTTTAGTAAAAGCCTTATTAAATAATCATTTATTATGCTTAAAACATTTAACTGTGTCGAGACATTTTTCGGTCTGTTTCTAAGGAACACGTTTGGCGTGAATTTACTGGGTACAGAGGAATAACACCTGAGTCCTCAGGAATGGCAACGCATGGGGGGTATCATGGGCGAAACAGTATACATGTCCATGGTACTGCTCATGTCTATAGGCGACGGTTACCACTTTCCATCAGGTGGGCCGTCAGCTTGTTTGCCATTCTAAGTTCTATAAAAAAAAAAAAAAAAAAAAAAAAAAACGTATTCAATTTAAATGTAGAACACATTTTTAAAAGTATAACTTTGACTTTAACATGTATTGCTATATTAAAATTTATTTTATTTTATATTATTAAGTAAATAAAAGTTATAATTTGTCATAAAACAAAATAGTATATTTGAAGATTTAATTTCACTAGCTTTTACGAAATTTGCGTCATTCTTATTTCTATCTGACCTGTCAATCCTTCATCACATTAAGCTAGAATTTAGCATATCTACTTGTAACTAGTGTTACTGGCAACTTAGCCAGCCATTTTTATATATATTTTTTTATTCTATTTAATATTTTTTTTTTTTTACGTTTCTTTCTGTACGAATTTACGGTTTATAAGGCGCCCATCGTTTTATTGTTCTCCAGTCACAACTAACTCGTAATTTTGGAAACAAAGCAATAGGGTCATAGACTTTAGTCTAATGATGAAGGAATAGGCTTTTTATTGTAATAAAATAATGCAAACTCATTGCATTTTAGTTTTATTTCATTGACCGATATTAATGGAGATCTTATCACAAAATTTTAAAGTCACAACAAGATTTGGGTATAAAAATGTGTTTTAATTATAAAATAGATATTCTTTTCTGAATTGATACCATTTTTTACATCTCCTATAGACGTAAAGAAGAGAACACCGAGAAGTTTATATGAGTAACTATAAGATATGAAATTGTAAAGAAACATTCATAGTATTGTATGCACGATTGTTTTGTATTTGATGCACGAAAAATTATTAATTCACTTTTGCACCAACTGCCCACTTCTATCTGTTCTCCTTTAACCAAAGGTTGTCTGTAAGAGATCGCCCTAGCGATAAGACTTTTGTACCTTTATGTGTATATTTCAATCTGTATTTATGTTACTGTATTTCACTTGTCATTGTATATTTTTATTTATGGTGCAATAAAGAGTTAAATAAATAAAATAAATAGTTTAATTTATCACGAAATTGAAATAGTTTTTAAACGATTAGAGTAATGTAACGACTTGGATGTTGTAAGTAAAAGTATGTATAAAAATCAACCGCTCAAATGGAATACAGTTGAAGCTATCAATAGACTCGTTGTCAACTTTTGTCCTTTACAAACCCTGTTACTTTTAAATCTGATGGAACATAATAAAATCGTGACTTGCGTATCCGATGGGCGCTAATGAATGGTAAGCTACGAAAATAAGTTTCCTCAATGTATCCTTTATGATACTGTTACAGAGATAAGAGTGTCTTCAGCCACACTCCAGGAAATTGGCCACTCTTGATCTCGCAATTTTTTACTCTCACCTAATGATAGATTAGTTACTCCTTACGATGATACTCAAAAAGCGTTGCTCTCAACGTTTTTTTGCTTTAATCCATTGAGCTAAAAAAAATGCGCCGGTGATTTATGGACGTACACCGCATTCCTTTTGTTACATGATGATTTGAAGAAAAAACCTTTAGATATTCCGTTACATTATTTAATTTGGCAACTTCTGTAGGCGGTGCGTGGAGAAATGGATTGAATGTTTTTTTTTTTTGTATATTTCTCAGGCACTTGTAAGTTCGAGAAAGCATTATCTACTTATTTCACTAGCTATGTGGTAACATTATTTACGACCGGTTAAAAAAACTGTTTTTTTTTTATTAAAACGCGCAGAGAAATATTTTTTTAAGAAAATAATAAACACTTTATTGTATGTACATATGAACTTATATATAACATTCACTTTATTTATGCTTTCCTGGTAAAGAAAATCTGTAATATTTCCCCCTAAATGTACTAACGTGATACTCATTTCAGCAATTTGTCCGTTCGTGGCAGCTTCTTACTCAAATACATTAGCGATACGTCAGACAAACGACTTCCCTACACGTCTCTACTGAAATATTACATTTAATGTGTGTCGACAACAAACCTCTTTACCTTACAACCCGTTTATATACTTAGGGTACACGCCCCGTTTTTCTTTCTTACTCTTAATAATAATATTAATTTAACTTTTAAACATTCGCACCGCATTTTTGACGACGACACGAACGCGAGCGAACGTGTTAATTTCCATCTCTTGTAGAATAGATGTTTAATATTTTAAAAAATTTGCATTAATTACTTCGGATATTTTTGCTACCTAATTCGAATATTATTTACCATAGATAATAAAAGAAATGAACGATTTCCATTAGTCATTCAAGTAGTGCTCTCAAATCATTTAGTCTGGTTACTTATAAAAGTAGAACCTTAAAGTCTTCGCTTTTAGTCAAGTTATAAACGAGTAGTAGGCATGGGTGATATCGATATCGGTCCGATATCTATATGGTATATCAGTTTCGTTTGGATATTGAGGGCGAAAACAGGTAATCATTCAGTTCTACATCTAGATCAATTTCGATGGTTCTCCTTTTAGTTATTACATAAGCGATATTTAATATATTCGTTACAGATAACGTATATATTAAATCGCGGAAATGCCAATATATAGATATTATAACTAAAATATATAGGTATTGGTATATAATACCTACTCTTATTATATAGAAAAACATCGATATCTTATACGAATGTTAATAATTAACATTCATGTAAGATAATTCTCTATTAGTAAAATTGATATTTTTTCCAAAGAGAACGACAAAATATTAAGACGTCGTATTTGCGTGTAGGAGGTCTAAATTATATAACGTTATTCGTTTAAAAAAAAATTAGGTACGCTCTTTTGAAAGACACTAAAGATTTCAATTTCAACTTTTCGAATACTTACTCTATTATATATTGACAGAAGACAAATATGTATTAAATCAAAATTGAATTTATTTACAAGATATTGAGAACCTGCTTATAGTTAGAATCGTAATTTGGCTATATTCCCAATTGTTTGTGTTAAGTATTTATGACTAGCTATAAATGTATCCTCTTCTATCAACGTTAAAATAATGCATCTACATATTCATATAATGATAAAATATCATGTGAGAATTTTTATTTGACATTTATTACCTTTCATATAAAAATGATTGATTACTGAATTTATTTTATCAATAATGTCCACTGCCCATCTACTTTAGTACTAACTTTTTTTATTATTACTCTGTATTACTTTGAAGTAGTAATAGAGTAAAAAGTCATTTCTTTTACATTTTATCTTTTTTTTTTTAATTATTAATACTCTGTATTACTCTGCAACAGAGTAAAAAGTCATTCCTTTTACAATTTTAAAGGAATAAGTTTTAAAAAAAATAATAAGTTCTTCATCTATAAATGAAACTTTTTTTAAATAATCTTACACCTTCAGGGTTATCAAAGTTGATTAAAAATATGTTTATTTCGGTAAATAATTTTTTAAGGCATAGTCATCAACTCACCAGTGCCGTTGATGCCTGAGGGCCTGATGCGGGCGTCGTACCTCCCTGGACCCAGGATCTGGTCCAGGATCTGCTTCTCTTTCTCCCTGAAGTTTATTTTCCCGCCATTCATGCATCTGTGAAAAACGAACTCTTGAAATTGTTTACTGTCTAATAACAAAGTTTGGAACATAATTATCATAGAACTTTTTATTAATTAAAAAGTATCTAGAATTTTGCATAGGAAGATTTTGTACAAAAGTCGTTTGCGTGGGACCCTCTGTCCCATTCGTGTTTCTACCATGAAGCAGTTGTGTTTGCATAGCGGGTTTGAAGGGTGGGATATAGCTGTTAAATTACAGGGTACAGAGGAATAACACCTGAGTCCTCAGGCATGGCAACGTTCATAGACTACAGTAACCCCATTTAACATCAGACGGGCCATATGCTTGTTTACCACCATAGTAGTACACAAAAACTAGTCAAGTGCGAGTCGAACTCGCGCAACGAAGGTTCCGCACAAAATTTGTTTTTATTAATTTCAACCTCCACGTGTTCCTAAAAAAATGATCTTGGCAAACGGACAGACGGACGGACAACGAAGTGATCTTATGAAGGTTTAATTTTTTCCTATGGATGTACGGAACCCTAAACACATAACAGTAAAAAAATTGTTGAATGTGTTTTTACGCAAATGTAAACAATGTAGTAATAAACCTGTATTTTTTTTGTATCATAGTCCTGTATGCCAATTAAATTAATACAAGCTGACAAGAATATCACAAACTACATTTACATTTGTCTGTCTGTTAGCGGATTATTTGGACAGGCAAAGTTGGCGGCGTGTCGTTTCACTAATTGTAATGCTTCTCTGAGAATAATTAATAGGTAGTGTTATTAATGGACGCAATTATATTTAATTAATAAAAAAGACAATTTACAATGTACTCTCTAAATATAGAAAAAAAAAACTACGTCTATTTTTATATAAAAGGATAAATTATCTATTGAGTTTTTTTTTTAATTGGTGAAAATGGCATGTGAAACCCGTTTGCGCTATCGGTATACACTGGCAAGGCACCAGTAAGAGGTGATAGGTAGAATGAAAAAACAGGTCAGAAAATTCAACGATAAATTAGTCACGATAGTTTCTAGGGGGAACCGCGTGGAGGTCGACCTGATAGGGTATATTGATAGCAATGGGGACTAACCTCCCCATTACTAACAATCCCTTCTTTCTTGGTCTATACAGTATAAAAAAAATATTTTACTTTTGTAAAGATGTTTGGATGTTTCATTGTTTGGAATTTTGTATGTTTGGATGTTTGTATATATATTTTTTTTATATGATTTTGTACATTAACTTGTAATATAGATATTAGGTAACAAAAATATGCACAGGTGAACTTATCCCTTAAAGGGGTTTCTTCGATATATTTGTTATTCATTTACGCCTAATAATAATAATTTATTTCAAACTACAATTTGGTCCATTTTGTTAGTAAAAATTTCCTTACAAACTATGCTGGCAAAAATAAAGATTCAATTAAAACAATTTACTCAGATATAATCCACACGATTAGATTTGCATCCGAATAAAATGTTTAATTATAGGCGAGTCGTACTTCTCGCTTATTATTTACACGGCGATCGTATTTTAATGAAATTTTATACAAAAGTTAGATACATTGTAGCTTAAGACATAGGGTACTATATATACTGATTTATGTCGACAAAGCCGCGTTATACATCTAGTATTATTATAAATATAGATGAGTTTGGTAGGTATTTTCTTCTTCGATACAATTCACTAATCTTTATTTTAAGTTAATAAAAAAATTATTTATATACATTTGTACTTTCTTTCGAATACTTAAAACTTTAAAAATATATATAAAAAAAAAGTAAATTGGCAGTGTTTAAAGTGACAATATTTCACTATAATTATTGTTGGCAACCCTGGTTAGTAATGGCGCCAAGAATGTACCTACGCTTGTATGTACGCTACATGTGCGCGCGGTATTTCGCATATGATTTTGTCTCATTTGATTTATTTAATGGAAATGTGTGAATGTTTGTGACACTGTTTGATTTTTATGAATGTCAAATATACTTATTATCCAGACATTGTATCGAGTTTAAATTATTACAACATACTATTTAAAATTAGTTGCACCGACAAGAGGAAACTCTTAAATGAAAAGAGACTATTTAAAATAAATATTCTGGTTAAAAAAAATAAAAAGATATGTAAATTAAAAAAAAAATTAATAGACATATCTGGCAATATAATTTGTTAAAAAAAGAAAATTAAAAAATTAATTAAGAACAGAGATCATGTCAACAAATGGTATTTTTATTTAAAATTAATATACTTAATTTTTTTTAAACATTACAAAAAAAGTACCAGCATATTTTATACACTGTACACATCTGGACGAGTGGCGGTCTTCCACCGTGCGTTTTCCACGCACAACCACTCTTTGGAATCAACTTCCAGCAGCAGTATTTCCGAACCGATACGACAACATAACCTTCAAGAAGAGAGCATATTCCTTTTTAAAAGGCCTGCAGCACACCTGCAATGCCGTTAGTGTTGTGGGTGATCATGGGCGGCGGTAGTCATTTACCATCAGGTGAGCCGCATGCTCATTTGCCCCGTGTTGTAAAAAAAAAAACTTTATAGGCGTGCAATATTATATAATATATATATATATATATATATATATATATATATATATATATATATAAATAGTTTAAAGATCTCTTTCGTATCAGTCGTTGCTTTTCAAAAACAGTTGTTATCAAAAATGTTGTTTCAAAATAAAATTATGGATTGGTCCATTCTATACTGGGACCACACGGCATAAAAAAAAATAAGTATGTGTAAAATAATTAAGTACTCACTCTGTAAGTTGTGTTAAGCAGAGCACAATCAGTATAAGAAGGGCACATGATGGCCGGGGGATGTCCATCCTCCGTCTGCAACAAAAAATATAACATATTATATATTATACTTAATATATAATATAGATATATATTGCTTTATATAACCATAACAATTACACAAGTTAAAACGTAATAAAATAATAATATTATAATATTACATAAGAATTTCTCTTTCTCGTACACACGATTACGCCTATAGACATGAGCAGTACCATGGATATAACAGAGTATACTGTTTCGCCCATGATACCGCCCATGCGTTGCCATTATTAACAAGTCACAAAAAAACCGACAGCAACTATAATAAAACCAGTTATTGTGCTCTAAAAATTTAAATTACTGAACCGATTTTGAAAAAATTTCTATAGGATCAATCAGTAAGTCAATCAGTAAATATCCTTTTAGATAAAAAAAGAATTTTCCAAATCGGTTTAGAACTGATGGAGTTATGAGGTGACAAACATAAAAAAAAACCATACAACCAAACTTAAAAGAAAAACCTATTCTAATGCAACGTATCTATATTTTTTATGTATTGCATAATAACTACTGCAATATGAGTGCTCAACTAGTACAATAGTCCACTGCAACGATTTGTTGCACTTTATGTGTAATTCACTCCAAAGTATGCGAGTAGGTCATAGCTACGTCCTGCTTGTAATCAAATCTGACATTCAAATGCCAAATTATTCGCTCTCATACTGTCTACATAAGTAGTTTAAAAATTTAATTCTTTATGCGATGTTTTATATACAATAGATAGATAGATACTCTTTATTGTTACCTCAAAAAGATGACAATAGTAAACTTATTATAAATTAAAACAATTACAAGAAATAATCACAATGAGAAAACAATGGGTGGCCTTATCGCTAAGAGCGATCTCTTCCAGGCAACCTTTGGATGGAGAGGAGTAATTATAAACAGTTTGATCGGAGGCACGATGAAGATTTTATTATTTCTAAATATGGAAATGTGATACATATAATAATATAAACATATAAAAATAAATTAATAAATTATACATAAATTACTATCTATTATTCTCATTTGTTTTTTTTTTTTGTTCATTTATCATATCCAAGCAAACGAGCAATACCAGAGGGAGACTTTGTACAAAAGTCGATTGCTTGGGTACCTCTGTCCCATTCGTGTTTCAACCGTGAAGCAGTTGTGTTTGCATGGCTGTGTTTCGGTTTGAAAGGTGAGATATGGCGTGGATTTACTGGGTACAGAGGAATAACACCTGAGTCCTCAGGAATGGCAACGCATGGGGGGTATCATGGGCGAGACAGTATACTCTGTTATGTCCATAGTACTGCTCGTGTCTATAGGCGACGGTTACCACTTTCCATCAGGTGGGCCGTCAGCTTGTTTGCCATTCTAAGTTGTATAAAAAAAGACTTTTACAAACTTGTACAAAGTCTGCCTCTGGTAAATTTTACGTTCATAAATCATCAAAGTGCTGACAAACCACATGTAATCAAGCTTCAAGTCACTGACCGTAATTAGTAAACACATTAAGCACAACAATTAAGTTAATGTTTGTGTAAATATTTTGATAGGAGTGGTATTCCGTGTTAATCAGGATATCTAATAGTGGCATACATAAACGTGTTATTTTGTACACATCGATTAATGAAAATAATCATATATATATAGCTATACATCTAGATCAGAGGGTCCCAAACTTATTTTGTCTACTACCCCCTTTGAGAATAAATTATTTTTGAGCGCCCTCTTTTCTTCACCTACTTAAAAACCACTATTGCTTCAAAATCAAGATTGCTTCAAGATTCAGAGATCACCCCCCAAATCTCTACACAACGCCCTCATATTTTTTCAGGATCTCTTACCGCCCCCCTTTAGGTCTACAGCGCCCACAAGGGGGCGTTATCGCCCACTTTGGGAAAGACTAATCTAGATCATAAACATATCAGCCGATAACTGTCTACTAATGAATATAGGCCTCCCCCATAAGGGATGTTTTACTAGTAGTTGCTACGCTTGACAGGCGGGTTGGCAGCCGCAGTTAGGCTTTGGTAATATTTTAAGATCAGGCTGCTGCCCGTCCCTCGACTTAACCCTTCTTTGCATAATGGTGGAAATTTCCATCATAACATTGAATGCCTAAAAATTATATAAAAGAACTTAAAGTTCACTTTAAGTTAATCGTGTCTGGATACCTTTTTATGTCCATTGCAGAAAAAAAAAACATAGCTGTCAACTTTATTTTTATAACCATTTTTCCTTTAATTTTGAACATGAATTATATCACCTTGCTTTATTTCATCAATGAAAAACATCATGCAAAGAAGGGTTAAGACCCACGGGAAAGAAAGGGATGGCCTATTCAATGCGTACTACCAATGGACTACACGGCAGTATATCTATATACGTGCGTTATAATAATATTAGCAGTAAACAGACAATATCAGTAAATAGAAAATAATCACATCTCTCATATTTAGAACTAACAGAATTTTTCATCGTGTCTGCCACCAAATTGTTTATAATAACTCCTCTCGATCCAAAGGTAGCCTGGAAGAGATCGTTCTTAGCGGTAATGTCGCCCATTATTTTCTCATTGTGATTATTTCTTGTAATTATTTATATTTATAATAAGTTTACTATTGTAATCTTTTGATGGAAACAATAAAGAGTATCTATCTATCTATGTATCTAATTAACATCTTGTACTAAACAAAAGTTTTTTTAAACCACCATCGAATATGTCTACACATCCTAAAGATTGACTGGTAGTAAATTCCTGTAGCATGAAGTCCGCTTTTTGTACCACATTTTATTGGTCAATAAAGTTTAAATAAATAAATAATAACAATAATAAATCTTCTATTTTCAGGTATAGTATCATAGTTTACAATCATTGCGATGAGAATTTAATTAATTAATATTTTTAATTTTTACATTATTATATTATTCAAACAATTATTACATTATTTAATTATACATTAATTAATAAAGTATCAATTAAAATAATTTTATTATAAATTCCTTGGTCATCAGGTATACAGTGAGGAATACTGTCTTAACAATAGGGTTACTTATTGTCATTAATCTTACATGAAATTTGGCTTACTTTTACGTAAAATAAATAAATAACAATGTAAAATAAAATTGACTGCTATAAATAGTGAACAATTTCAAAAACAATTTGTATTTGAAAAATTAAACAGTCGATCGGTTTGTGACTGCCGCTGGTTATCTAATCAATACTGCGTCTATAACATTTCCAACAGGAAAACTCTGTACCACATAATTCTTTATTATATCAACATTTGTACAAAAGAGAGACTTTGTACAAAAGTCGTTTGCTTAGGCACCTCTGTCTTATTCGTGTTTCTATCCTGAAGCAGTTGTGTTTGCATGGCTGTGTTTCGGTTTGAAGGGTGGGATATGGCGTGAATTTACTGGGTACAGAGGAATAACAACTGAGTCCTCAGGAATGGCAACGCATGGGGGGTATCATGGGCAAAACAGTATACTCTGTTATGTCCATAGTACTGCTCATGTCTATAGGCGACGGTTACCACTTTCCATCAGGTGGGCCGTCAGCTTGTTTGCCATTCTAAGTTGCATAAAAAAAAGCATTCACTACCAGTCAACCCTCGGGGTGAACAATGAATCACAGATGCGGTCATTTATAAAACAATTTGGATTTTTTTTTTATCTAAAAGAATAAACTTTCATATTGATCTCGTTGAAATTTTATCAATGACTTTAGTTTTTTTAATAAAAAATGTGGTTTTGCCACGAATGGTGTTTTTTAGAACACAACCTTCGACTACCGTTTATAATGCTTGTAATTTATTATACCTATATCGCCTAGCAACTGTTCGTGACACAGCTATCGTCTCAGCAGGAGTTCATTGCTAATTGACTTTATTTTTTTAAGTAATATACCTATACCAACCGTAATATTGAGTACTACATTAAACAAAATACGATAGTTAGACTTTCTGTTGTCAGAAAAGTAGAGAGGAGAACTTACACTTAATGCATTCTGTGTTTAATTTTGAAATTAAATTTAAATATGCACATTTTAATAAAACTATATTACAAATAGTTATTCATGTACTTGTCTATTTATGTAAATAAAAATTAATCACTAATTGCTAAGCGCAAAACTTGTAAATAGGGTGATCAAATCAGCAGTTTTCTTTTTCGAAATTTGTTCAAGTCCGAAGTAGATACATATGTAGAGAAAAATTGGAAAAATTGCGCAAAAATACCTAAAAAAAATTACTTTTTGCTATACAAACTGTTATGCGTATGGACAGACTGGCACATTCAAATAGTTTTTGACAAAACGAGACATCTATCGGGTCAGCTAGTTTTATTTATAAAATAAATTCTTTTTTGTTAAGTTTTAAATTTTTCTACATAGAACAATCATACATTTTGCAGATTTTAGTCACACGCCGGTTTGGTACTTTTTTTTTTATACAACTTAGAATAGCAAACAAGGTGACGGCCCATCTGATGGAAAGTGGTAACCGTCGCCTATAGACATGAGCAGTACCATGGACATAACAGAGTATACTGTTTCGCCCATGATACCTCCCATGCGTTGCCATTCTTGAGGACTCAGGTGTTATTCCTCTGTACCTAGTAAATTCACGCCATATCCCACCCTTCAAACCGAAAGCCAACCATGCAAACACAACTGCTTCACGGTAGAAACACGAATGGGACAGAGGTACCCAAGCAATCGACTTTTGTACAAAGTCTCCCTCTAGTGATAGAAAAATATCTTTTAAAATATATTTTATACCAATACGGTAGCCTAAAAATACGTGCTAATAATCAAGAAAGTCACTTTGTTTTGTGGTTTTAACATTTATAGAAAATCTAAAAAAAAAACATAAAACTAAAAAATGGAAGTTGGTAATACCAAAGGTATTACGCACGCGTTGCCGACCCTGAAGAAACCTCTTTACCCTTTTTAAGAACCCCATGCTGTAGTCTCTTGGGAAAACCTCGGCAGGGAACTCATATATATATATATATATATATATCTTGTAGACCCTGCATTGAATGGGCTACGCCATTCTTTCGTGCGGGTGTCGTAAGAGGCGATTAAGGAAACTTAACGGTTATGATTTATTGTTATGATTATATATATATAGAGTAATGCTTGCCTTTGTACATTCACTTTCCACTGTCATATTTCTGTATATATTAGTAGTGTGTACAATAAAGTATAAATAAATAATTAATATAGTACTACTCTCTATGGAAACTTCGAGATTTGTCTTCATTTCCAGGCATGTTTTTTGAAATTTTGTGTTATTTCACAAATAGGTAATACGTAACTACATTTTATACCTACTGATAAATTTATACCTACTGATAATAAGGAAAAGATAAGCCATCAAATAATATTTTAAATGAATTAGTACAGATAATACCGGCCGCCTCTGGTCGGGTACCTTAACCTATGTTTGTGACTGATACGTGAAAATCAATAACTTTTTTGGTTGACATTCACTGTTTATATCATTGTAGGTATTTTTATTATATAAATGTAATAACTGAATACATAGCTCTAAGAACCGACAACCGTTGGGGTGTAAAAGTTTTTGAGTGGCGACCCCGTACGGGCAAGAGCAGTGTAAGACGACCCCCCACTAGATGGAGTGACGACCTCAAATACATTGAATGAAGTCAGTGGATGCAGGTGGCCAGTTTATGGGGTCGGCCCATGTCCAGCAGGGGACGGATAATGGCTGAAATGATGATGACGATGATGAAATGTAATTACAACAACTTACAGCCTAAACTAGCAGCTTATCTATCAAATATAATAGTATATATTTCAAAGTTGACAAATAAGAATATAGTTCCAAATGCACAACAATAGTTGAGTTTATTTAAAAAGTTCTCCTCGATATTTCCTCGCACAATTCTTTTGGAAGACCTTTGCTTTCCAAGCAATAAAAAAAAACAAACCGCTCCCTGTTTACCCCGCCATATTGTACCGCCATTCGGGTAAATGTGTTTACTTCCGATTCCGACGTCATTTCCTCCGACATGCTCGCTTCTGATTCAATTTTCGCGTGTTATATCAAGTTATTTATATAATATTCAGCACTACGTACAAGTTAGGACGAAATGACGAGCCATTACTCTGTTTTGCGATTATTGATAAGGTTTTTCTTATTCACTATTAACGACTATAAACTATAACAAAGATTGGCTTCGATTCCATAGCGCATTCTCTATTTCTGTCTCTAAAACAAAAATTTTGATGGAATATCAGAAAAAAAAAATATTTTAAGGATTAGTATAAACTAAATTTAAAATAGATAGAACAAGAAATACCTTAAAATTATTTAGTCTGTACACTATATCTACTCCACTATATTATGAAATTTTTGTTTTTGAAACAAGTTTTTAGAATAATACTTCAAAATACGTATTTATATTTATAATGAGAGAATTTGAAATAAAATATTTTTTAAATTATATTTTGTAAACCATTTTTAATCTTCAATCAGTCTTTGAATTGGTGCTTATTATTTAATTATGTCAACGTGATATTTTTCTGTGATTTTTTTATAACGTATAACGGAAAAATAAGTCTTGGCTGTTGGGTCAAACGGTGGTCGTTTTACCCTACAGCCATGCCGCTAATAAAGTCAAAATCAAAGTAAACTTTCAGATTTGTACAGATTCGATATTTTAATGAAAATACTGGATACATTTATAACGCAAACACGTTTCATCGTTTACATAAATAGAACTAACAATGTATTTGATGGGATTTCAAGAATATCTAACTCCACGATTATAATTCATCTAATGTAAATATAATTACATAGTATATTATACGCTTTTAACTGCCTTTCAATAACGAAGTTTGTGATTATAACTATATACGACTATATAACTATATAATACTATAAGAGTTACCGTTTTAACTTCATAGACATAGACTAGCTTTTACCCGCGACTTCGTCCGCACGACCGGGATATGTTTACTGACCGGGGTAAAAAGTAATTTTATAAAGTAACATACAAAGAAAACCACTTATATTTACAATATTAGTAAGTATTTATTGACAATTTTAGATTTTTTTTTATACAACTTAGAATGGCAAACAAGCTGACGGTCCACCTGATGTAAAGTGGTAACCGTCCCTATAGACATGAGCAGTACCATAGACATAACAGAGTATACTGTTTCGCCCATGATACCCCCCATGCGTGGCCATTCCTGAGGACTCAGGTGTTATTCCTCTGTACCCAGTAAATTCACGCCATATCCTACCCTTCAAACCGAAACACAGCCATGCACACACAACTGCTTCACGGTTGAAACACGAATGGGACAAAGGTATTCAAGCAATCGACTTTTGTACAGTCTCCCTCTGGTAAAAATCAATTAGAAATAAATTTCTATAGTACCATTTGTTTTCCTACTTCTGAAACATATGAAGGAGCGGGGAAAATGATTCGAATTTTTTTTTTTTATTTTACTGTTAAAAAAAATACACGTTTAATTATCACATTACTATCATTAGCGAACAGATGTGGCACCTGTACATAAAATAAATATAAATCAAATAGCGTCTTCATTAAAATTCACCGATAAGAGTCACCTAATGCTAGTAAAGTTTAAATATAACATCGTCAATAAATTTTCATACATTCACAGACAAATGTTCATGTCCAAAGAATCTTTTTACTCTTATCTCCCTGACAGTTAAATAAATAGCTTTTCAGAATAAAAAAAACTGCACATTTTTGTCACTACATATTACGTGTGTGAAACAAAGAAAAACACGTAATGTTTCACAGGCAATCTGGATGATGGCCAATACTGACAACTTTATTGTAAAATAAACTTAAACTTTACGCATCGACAGATCGTCACGTGCTACGCGTGCGTACGGAATAGAGCGTGGATTAAAAATGACTTTTTTTTTTCTTGGTATTCTATAATTGACTCGCCGTTAACGGGATGAACTAGTTCAATGCATTTACCAACTGGTTTATGTTTGCAAAAACAGTCTCCGGACTTTTAGCTGAAAGAAAAAATAAACAGCCGTGAAGCAGTTGTGTTTGCATGGCTGTATTTCGGTTTGAAGGGTGGGATATGGCGTGAATTTACAGGGTACGGAGGAATAACACCTAAGTCCTCAGGAATGGCAACGCATGGGCGGTATCATGGGCGAAACAGTATACTCTGTTATGTCAGTATAATGTGTTATAGGCGACCGTTACCACTTTCCATCAGGTGGGCCGTCAACTTGTTTGCCATTCTAAGCTGTATAAAAAAAGGCGACGTCTAAAAGAATTTAAATGTACAACTTAAAAGAAAAAATAGTATTTTTTTTTATGTTTTACACGTGACACAGCCCACGTTAGTAGTAAATATAATATTGAATAGATATTTTCCAACTCCTGGATTGGCAAAGATATAGTATCAACGTCAATAATGAATATATCGTCATAGTCGTAGAAGTTAATCCTCGGATCTTTCATATGTAATCTTTGTCAAAAAAATCGTCGTCGGTATTCTACATTATGACGATATTAGTGACTTAAATCAAATAATAAAAGTTTAAGTAGAATTAAAAATCTCCATCAAATGGGCATAGAATGGACTACCTCTTCTTTCCCGTGGAGGTCCACGAGGTGACTAAAGAAACATAATGGTCCAGGGATGGGTAGTAGATTAAATATTTAATACACAAATAGACCATTTCCTAGCTCGGTTTTCCAAATGGCGCGTTATTAAAGCTGTATTAATCTTATCAGTGGTAACAGAGGGAGACTTTGTACAAAAGTCGTTTGCTTGGGTACCTCTGTCTCATTCGTGTTTCAACCGTAAAGCAGTTGTGTTTGCATGGCTGTGTTTCGGTTTGAAGGGTGGAATATGGCGTGAATTTACTGGGTACAGAGGGATAACACCTAAGTCCTCAGGAATGGCAACGCATGGGGGGTATCATGGGCGAAACAGTATACTCTGTTATGTCCATGGTACTGCTCATGTCTATAGGCGACGGTTACCACTTTCCATCAGATGGGCCGTCAGCTTGTTTGCCATTCTAAGTTGTATAAAAAAAAAAAGATAAGCGAATGAAATGACGAGTAAACTCTACCATAGACAAATTATAGCTGTATATTAGTGAACATGCAATGGTCTATAAATAATTTAAATATTATTATAATTTAATGTTGAGTATTTTAAAATAATAGCAAATAATTCGATATAATGAAAGTCTTTCATGACATTACAGCACAGTACACAAAAATATAAATATTAATTGACAAATGGCCGGTCAATTTATTTAGCAGCCAGATGCAATAATCGCAGGATGACATCGTTAACTCTGTGTTCTAAACTTGAAGTTTTTTTTTTTTATATTGTTAAGAAGGCAAACAAGCTGACGGTCCACCTAAAGAGAAGTGGCTATCGTCGCCCGTGAACTTGACTTTTAAATAACTTTAAGCACATATTAAAATACAGTTGGTGTTGATTGGACACTTGGTAAAATTTTAAATTTTAATTAAGGATCATTTTTTTTAATATTAATTTTATTTTCATGATATGCAATTTAAAATATTTATTAATTGAAAAATATATTTATATTTATTTTCGCCATATTTTGATTTTTAAATGATATCAATTTTTTTAATAAACATATCTAATAATGTATATTATTGTTAATACAAAAATTAATTTATTTAAAATATTAAACAAAAGTGAATTATTTATAATAATTCACTTTTGTTTAATAATAATAAAAGATTATCACTACATAAATATATGAATAATACCCAGAGGATTAAACTCTAGAAGCTTTGTATATATGCAAGTTTTTTGATAAATATTTTTAAAAAATTAGAAACATTACAAACCTTAATAATTGCCCAGAAAAAATAAAGTAATAAATTTGTTTTCACCGCTGCACTACGGTATGTAAAACTTTATAAATAAACAGGCTAAGCTTGCCAACTGCACTTTCTAATAATAATAACACCACTAAATTCAAGAGTCCGAAATTATATTTCTATATCTATGTTTATCTCAATTATATTAACCGACGAAAAGTTTTGAATTTTCGAAATTGGAACCCAGTGACGTCAGCCGACCAGTTCCGGGGAATGTTTGGCGGCAACTGCGCTGTAGCTGAATGCGCCGCTACCTTTGACGTGCATTATGCCATGTTCACAGCGACTGCGGCTTACGGCGGCCATTCGAACTGACCCTTAGATAAATAGCAAATATATCTATCGATAGATACGTTTGCACGATCACATGGGTGAGATAGAACGATATAGCTATATCTGGCATCTTGTTTTTCTCATACGCGTGGTTACGGAAACGTTAATACCAACAGAGATGCGTTTACCACTTATCTAGGATACATATTTATGCGTAAATAAAATATAAATAATTAAATTGAAATTACCTTCTAGCAGTTCATTTGTATATTTTGAAATAATTTTAGTAACTACTTCTGTTTGTCTCTTACTAATTTTATTAAGACAGTAAAGAAAGAGAGGTACTGCAACAGTACCCAGCTAACAGGAGTATACCTTACATTTTATATAAATATGAATAAAAATATTGTAGAACTTTTAAACATATTCCATTTTCAAAACATATTTCGACACGAATAAATAACAAAAGTTCTAAAAAAAAATATGTTTTACATACAAACATAAAATATGTGTGAGAATAATAAATATAAGGAAACCCATTTACAAAATAACACACTACAGATAGGTCACATAAGAGAGGCGAAGAAAATACAGATAGGTAAGTAACATAAATCTATCTAGTTTATGCCAATCCCTTGTGGGAAACGAGACTCCGATATTCAAGTTTCCATTCGTATTCCTTGCTAAAAATACGACTATTGCTATGCATAGATAGGTTGACAAGCCTGGCAGCCTGGCACGTGTACACCGCGACCTGAATTGTAGGTACGGTTACCGCATAAAACATTCACTGGGAATGGTCCCTAAATGCCACAGCGGCAAGCTCAATTTACAGACATCTCGCTTTGATCAAATAAAAATATGTACAATGCTTTGCCTCTGACTTTTTCAGCTCAGATATTGTTGATTTAGTTTGTGCTCTGCGACCTCTCAATTTGTTTTTTAGATGAAAATGGAAGGGTTTACGCTAGCGGAGCACAAATAAAGGATAATAAATGTCAGATCAGTAAGCCCATTATGACGAATTTACTATAAAAAATAACCACGTGATGATTTCCAGTGAAATTATATAGAGATCGACCTGATGGAATATTTATTTATTTTATTGTACCATTTATAAAATAATAAACACAATTCATTTTAATGAGAAGTGATACAAAAGGCCTTATCGCTAAGCAATCTCTTCCAGACAACCTTTGGGTAGAGGACATTGGGAAAAATGACATATAAAAAGATTATTTCTATCAATGGGGTCTCAAACCCCTTTACTAACAATCTCATCTCCCTTTGACCTCTCAGTTAGATATAAGGTGATATCTAGTTTTATACGTAAGATTTATAGATGGAGGATACACATGTTAGATATACCATACATAAAGAGCACAGTAAAAATCATTGCCACCGATTTCATGGAGTTTTCCGTAAGTGTAACTGTATATTATTTCCGAAGAGATGAACGAAAAAACTACTAGTCCTGAGTCTTCCGTGCTAACGCGGTGCGTCCAGCTATAAAATTAGTAGATGTAGGAAATTCTAAATGTTTATTCTATTTCTGCCCTATATTTCTTTAGAGAAAATATTTTTTTAGTTACACTGGTAAAGTACTCCGTTAAAAAATGCCAATATATTTGTTTCTTTTTCTTTTTAATAGATGTATGATTGACATGAAGCGTCCCAAAAAATAGGATAATGTATTTTTTTTAAGGAATCCATATAGATAATTCATAGAGATAATGATTATATTTTGATGTCTAATAACATCTTGCACGCACAACCACTCTTTGGAATCAACTTCCAGCAGCAGTATTTCCGAACCGATACGACAACATAACCATCAAGAAAAGAGTATGTTCCTTTTTAAAAGGCCAGCAGCAAACTTGTAATGGTGTTGGTGTTGTGGGTGATCATGGGCGGCGGTAGTCACTTACCACCAGGGGAGCCGCGTGCCCATTTGCCCCCTGTATTATAAAAAAAACTGACAGTCTAACGGTAGTTCGAACAAAAGGATTATAGAAACCTAAAATTTTTCGTCTTATTATTCTGTCTTGATCATATTTGTGGATTATTCACGTCCATACATACTTCGATTGTAGTTAACACATTTGTTGATAACTATTCTAAACAGCTCGCGCGTGAGGGTCAAGGGATTGTTAGTAATGAAGACTGAGAATCCCATTGCTAGCAATATATCCAACCAGGTCGACCTCCTCGTGGTTTCCCCTGGAAACTATCATGGTTAATTCCTGATGAATTCATCGTGATGGGCTAACTAGCCTGTTTTCATTCTCATCTATCACCCTTCACTGGTGCTCCGCCAGCGTATCCCGTTAGCGCAGGCGGGGCTACCATACCATTTTCACCCATTAAAAAAAAAAAAAAAAAAACAGCTCGCGCGTTTTACATTGAAAACTATTTAAAATGATACCGTACAATTGATATAACTACCAACTACCATCAAGAAGTCACAACACAAATAGTGAATTGTACGTACTTTTGTTGATATTTCCTGCAAGTAGAAGTCACACGAAGCATTACTACACTGAAGTAGAAACATACGAGTTAAATTGGCAGCTATTTTTGCGAAGAAAGATTTGTAAAGAAGATAAATTATATGCCAGTGTCAAACATATGTTGCGATATGTGTCCAGAATATTATTTAGAAAGAGACAAAATATCAAGAGTCAAGAGCGAAGAAGTATCTCGTATATAAACACAGTGTATTTTATCTATATTTCTTTTTCTTTTTTTTTTATTATTTTCTATGGAAATTCGCGGCTCACTTTTGGCTACAACAGAATATTAGTCTTTTGCTCTTTTTAGGGCAAAGCAATAAACTGAGTTGTGACCATTTTGTGTTACTTTGGCAAACGCATGAAGGGAAAAAATTTTTACTTAATTTATGCATTTTGTTTTTTTTGTACATGTATTTTTTTTTCTTCACTGTGCATTTATGTTTATTATTATTTGTATGCTGTAAGTAATGCAAATAAATTATTTATCTATACAAACTTTGTACATTCATACCTACACATGTAATGGTGGATTTTCGTAGATTACAATTTTTATAGATAGATAGATAATCTTTATTACCATACATACATACATACATATCTGTCACGCCTGTCTCCCATTAGGGTAGGCAGAAACAATGGAACGCCAAATGCTTCGATTCAAACAAACCTCTTTATTACCACTAATAAAATAAAAAAAAAATCAACAATAAAAAGAAAAAAAAACAATTCATTTGGCTGATAATAGGAGCCGCCTCAGCTGTTGCTATATACTCGTATGCACACCACCAGCGGGATGTACCTATATAGCGCCGATTTATTGTTATGATATTACATATATATACAAATATCTTATTAATAATACACAAAAGTCTTTACCTGCGTCTGTGTGTTTCACTTAAACTTTCTTTTAAACCACGCAACGGATTTTGATATGGATTTGTCAAAATATTGGATTCCTCTGAACATTAATGGCGGAAAATAGGTCATCACCCATTGCGATATCGCCCATATCGGTCGGATATCTATTTTCGAATATGTTAAAAGACTGTTATCCAATATTACTTTTTGGATAACAGACTTTTAACATATTCATTATTGAATCAGTATATATATATATTGTGACTAAACTATGTAGATATTGCTATATATTACCTACCCCTAGTTTTTTTTTTTTTTGATGGGTAAAAGTGGTATGGTAACTCCATCCTTCCTGCGCTAACGGGATACGCTGGCGGAGCACCAGTGAAGGGTGATAGATGAGAATGAAAACAGGCCAGTTAGCCCATCATGATGAATTCATCAGGAATTAACCATGATAGTTTCCAGAGGGAACCGCGAGGCGGTGGACCTGGTTGGGTATATTGCTAGCAATGGGATTCTCAGTCTCCATTACAAACAATCCCTTTCCCCCCTAGCTACCCCTAGTTAGTATTGAAAAAACTCGAAAAAAAAATCAAATATGAATGACCGATCATGTACGAGTGGTTCCGGTCCAGAATAAGCCATCCCTCTCTTTACTGTAGTTATCGTAAGAAATTAACTTTTTTAACGGTCAAGGGATAGACAGTCCCTCTTTAAACATCAACAAAGACTAACTGCGGTTGCCAACCCATCTTCCAATCGTGGGAAGTAATGGCAAAACCCCCCAAAGGGAGGCCTATGTTCAGCAGTGGACAGTTAACAGCTGATTTTGCATTGTAATAATTTTTTTTTATGCAACTTAGAATGGCATACAAGCTGACGGCCCACCTAATGGAAAGTGGTAACCGTCGTCTATAGACATGAGCAGTACCATGGACTAGAGATGGGCAATCCACCTGGGTGGGTTTAAAGTCTGGTGGGTAAAAACCGGGTGTTTTGGGTTTATTGGGTTTAAACCCCATAAACACCCAAATTTTTGGGTGTTTATGATTTTGTACTTCATCATCGTCATCTCAGCCGCAAGACGTCCACTATACTGGACATAGACAATATTATTATGCAGCCTACAGAATAAAAAACTTTTAATTTGATTTTGAGTTTATTAAGAAAGAGATGAAAGTAAAATGTAAAACTACAGTCAATCACTGTCAGATTCAGAGTTATTACAAGCGATGAATTGTATAGGTTCGATAGGCTCTATTTCGTCTAAACTGTTATGTTCATTTACTTGCTCAATGAAAGCTTCTAAGGTATTTTCTTCATTAAACTGAATGTCCTCGCATTCAGCTTTATGTTTAAGATTCCAGTTATAACAAATGAATGAAATTTTTTCAGTTCTTTCAGTTGTAAGTCGATTTCTTTTGTTATTATGTATGTAGCCTTGGATACTAAAGGAACGCTCAGTGGCTGCCGAAGTACAGGGAGCTGATAGAATACGAATCGCTACTTTGCTTAACTCAGTGGAACCACAAATACCTTTCCACCATATTAGGGGCTCAATGCTATCTAATGAGCTCCATACAAATCCTCTGGCCCAAAAGTTTTCTTTAGCTTTATAACACGCCAAATCTGCCATTACATTTGACAAACTTAAGTGTTGGCTTAAATTGTAGATAAACTCCATACCCTTAAGTTCTTCCTCTTGAGTAAGTTCGACTCCTAGAGTCCTGGGGTCTAGAATATATGCTGCAAAATGTATTGGCCTCATTGCCATATTGCATCTTGAAGATACTGATGTTAGAATCTGCTGTTTGCTTTCTTCGCTCAATGTCGAAATCTCATTTAATGCAAAACGTATCTTAGCTTGTACATCTCTAAATGTAATGTATGTGCGATGCAAACGATTCTGGTCGCTCTCTAAGTAAAATATGCTTTCAGTGACTGGTTCCAAAATACTTATACATTCCCCTGTCTTCGTCCAGAAATCATCACTTAGAATTAAATCTTTAATATCTCTTGAAATTACCACATCTTCTCTAACTGTTAATATTTGCAAAGCTATCTTATTTGCTTTCAAACTTTTAACGAAGTAACATGACTTCCCCATCTTGTAGCACAAGGCAATTTTAGTGTTTGTGTAGAATCTTCACCCTGCCTTGATTTTATCAACAAGGAACTTAATCGTTGACTCCTTTTAACAGTTTTTATTATATTTATGGCTTGCATAATAAACACAGTTACTTCTTGTATCTTTACAATATCTTGGCACAACAAGTTAAGGATATGTGCACAGCAACCGAGAGGAACAACATGTGGATATTTGAGTTTTGTTAATTCGAATGCCTTTTGTATATTTCTAGCGTTATCGCCAATAAGTACAAGAAACTTATTTGCTCCATACACTTTCATTACTTTTTCAACTTCTTGGCTAAGGTATTCACTAGTGTGAGGATTACTTTCTGTATTCAAACATTTAACGTATGCAGGTTGAGGTTTTGATATAAGAAAGTTTATTATTCCTTCATTTCTTAAATTAGACCAGCCATCGCACTGAAGGTGTAAGTAACTACAAGCATTTAGTTCCTCATTTAACTCAAAACGCATTTCTCTATATATTTTATCTAAGTATTTTGTCGCTAAAGCTTTACGTGAAGGTATTTTAAATTTTGGTTGCAATTTTTCGAAAAATTGTATCCATAAAGGATGTTGCACCATCGATAATGGCGTCCCTGTTACAAATATAGCTCTCGCTAATTCTGTTTTTATATGATCATCGGTGTCTTGAAACTCAGCATTTATTGTAGTGTTAGCAGACGACGAGGGGCTTATAAAAGAATCATTTGTCTCTATCTCTGACAGTCCAGACATTTTGGTTTTGGACGAGCTATCTTTTATAAGTTTCATAGAGTCTTTTAATGTTTCTGGAGATTTTGGACAAGTGATAAGATGTTGAAGCATTTTGGCAGCATTACTGAATTTGTAGACCTTATTACAAAGCTTGCAAGAAACAGACTTGTTTGGTAAAGTACGGTAGTGCTCCCATATGCGTAAATCTTTAGGTCTCCCCATTGAACCTAAAAAAATGAACGATGATTAGTTGGTCTGACGAAAATTCAACAATAGAGTGCCTATTTTTTTACAATGATTATTTCTTGTTATTTACAATAAATTTATTAAAAAAATAATAAAATAAATACAAAAAACCTTTGTAAAATTACATCTCCTCGGAGGATTAAACGCAGACGCTAGTTTATTATCGTATTGTTCTGTATTTTTCTCAGCAACTTCTTTAATTCGATTAGGTACTTACGCATATTATGTTAAAAATAAATATCTAGTACACATCTTAGGCTATCCACCATTATTATCCAATGACGACTCTCAGCTAACTATGCACTATCATCCAAAATAAACGTGTATGGAAAATTTTATCCCAGTCGGTTGAGGATTGAGGATAATTGCATCAACATACGAACATACCTACATACTTTTATTTACATAACGCAAGCTAAATAAAAGCTTGTAATAATACATCTAATTTTAAGTTAAAATTGTTAAGTGATCATGATATAATTGTATCATTCAAAAATCCACTTACCTTTAATTATTTCTTGTTAAGTATAAATATTATTTCAAATCTGCTCCCTTAATATGCACTTTTTTACTGCTTTTCCTACCTAACACGTTACCAGGAAGTCACGTTACCAGAGTCATAATAGTGAACACGTTTGACAGTGATTGTCGTCGCCTCATATTCAGCGTCGACGAATAGGGGAATCTCCAGTCATAATGTATTGCATGCGTGGCGGTCTTACTTCAAATCCATAAACAAAGAGATAATTACAGAACTCGATACTAGATGGCGCTGTTTTTGTTTGAAGAAAGTTTGCGGGCTAAAATACATAGAATTTCATCAATGACTTCCACAAAGAACAACATTTCTGTTTTTTCTAAGTCCGTATCTCTTCCGTATATTTCATAAGATATAAGCTTGGGCTACATTGTTATGCAACGTGATTTTGTCGCTGTCTTGCTAGCAGGGTTGACAGATATACGATTTAAATCGTACTCATACTATTATTTGTCTATTTTTTAATGTACGATCGTAAAGATTATGATCGTAATTCGCACAAAAACATACGACTTTTTGGTTACCTGGCAACATTTTTATTATGAAACGAACATGCTCACATCATCAGTCACATGCAACAATTTATTGGGGATTTCCCCTTCACATCTGGCAGTCCTGCTTGCTAGAATATAGGTAAGTCAGCCACAGTTACTGACGATCGATATTTAAAGGGTATTGTTTTTGTGCTAAATATTTCATAAAAACGTTATTTAATACTTTGTGGATTATTAATTTAGTTGATAATCACTGGAAGTAAAATGGATGCTAATTTGAGAGATCAAGATCTTCGTATAAAACAGTTAATAAAAGAAAATCTACGTAAGTACTCTTTTTATACCTAGGTAGGTAAGGTATAATAAACACAAAAGGTACTTAGATCGCGTGTGTTCGAAGCATTTATTCTAATAAATTTAATTTAAAATTGTAGAAAGAAAAAAATGTCTGCCAAGCCGTAGCCGAAGCCGATCTCCAAATATATTTGGCGATAGTGAGACCCAGTGTCCAGATGATTTACCCAGCGTCGTCGCAACAAAGAAAAAAAACGAGGATAAAGTAAAAGAAAATTTACTGAAAGAAGAAACAAACAGTTCTAAATGCTTAATTTATGGAGAAGAGGATAAAAGAAATGAGTATTTCGGACTGTTAGTGGCTCAAGAATTTAAATATATACGGCCATGTGTGCGAACGAGGTGTTATGAAGAAATTTTAAAGTATCTACGGGAAGCAAAAGGCCAACATGTTGATCAACTGCAACATGAAAACACTGAAAATTAATTACTTTCATTTTATTATATATAGATTTTTAAAATTTCCTGAAATATTATTAGTTAACGTTTTATTTAATATTGTAGAATTGATCAATACAATTTATAAAAATAATTTATTGGTATTACTTACATATTTTCAAAAAAATACGTAAAAACCTATTTTTTTGGGTGATTATGGGAGTTTATGGGTGTTTATTGGGTTTTTACCAAAGCACCGGGTTTAAACCCGGTGCTTTGCCCATCTGTACCATGGACATAACAGAGTATACTGTTTCACCCATGATACCGCCCATGCGTTACCATTACGGAGGACTCAGATGTTATTCCTCTATACCTTGTAAATTCATGCCATATCCCACCCTTCAAACCGAAACACAGCCATGCAAACACAACTGCTTCATGGTTGAAACACGAATATGTAACAACTAAAAAGAGATTTTCTTGATTCTTTACATGTGTTTTTTGGCAGAGAACATTCGTATCGTAAAATAAAGCTATTTAGAATTTTGTATAAACAAACATTTGAATAAAAATTATGTTTGTTTTGAATTATATGATGTACCATACATACGCGACTACAGCTGCTTTTGCTGGAAGATCAAGGAATTAATTTAAATTAGTTTCCATTTATACAAAATTGTACCAGAGGGAGACTTTGTACAAAAGTCGTTTGCTTGCGCACCTCTGTCCCATTCGTGTTTCAAGCAATTGTGTTTGCGCGACTGTGTTTCTGTTTGAAGGGTGGGATATCGCAGTGAAATTATAGGGTACAAAAGAATAACACCTGAGTCCTCAGGAATGGCAACGCATGGGGGGTATCATGGACGAAACAGTATACTCTGTTATGTCCATGGTACTGCTCATGTCTATAGGCGACGGCTACCACTTTCCATTAGGTGGGCCGTCAGCTTGTTTGCCATTGTAAGTTGCGTAAAAAAATCATAAAAATGACAGTGAATCATAAATGATAATTTAAAGGTACTTGTAAACTAGTTTATTTGAAAAAAGATTATTTTTATTCTACGCATATTATGTTGTCTGTGGTAATAATGAATTACGTGACAAAGCATACAGCATTTACAAGTTTAATTCACTTAAGTAAATATAGGTCAATGTTCGTCAAAAAATTATTTTGTAACCTGTTGCAGATATGTAAATATAAATTAATAAATGATTAATTTTATTTACTAATCAATTATTCATTCTAATATTCAATCAACTCAGGATACCAAGTCGAAGTTACTCCGCCCCATTTTATTGATCCAATTTCGGATACATAATTATAATGGCTGATATTTTTCGCCATCTATAATATCTATGAATATTGTTATATATAATAAAGGTATTAATACTAAACTGACAATATTATATCTTACTAAATCTCCATAGACCCACATAGTTGTAGATTGAACCGGAATATTTAAAAACTATCAGATCGAATAAATTAAATTAAGATTAATCGTAATGTTATAAAATATATTACCATCTACGCAATATAAATAAGACATTATATAAAGCAATACTTAACACCTATTTTTAATACATAATACAGTATATATTGGTTTAAAAATCGATCAGTATCAATATAAATGTATATAACAATCTATTTTTAGATACATTCATCATAAAATGAGAGACATATTGAAAGGACTCACCTCAACACACTCCCATCTCCAGAATAGCCCGGAGATATCTATTTTTAATGAAAACAAACTCCAAAAAAGGTTCAACTATTAAAAAAACTTAGTTCCCTTAAAAAAAAGTATTTAAAAATGTGTTGCGGGGCCGGCGTAGGGCGCGGTACTAACCTGGGAGGGAGTGGTGGGGATTCATCTCTATTGATCGGGAGATCGCGCAGCCTCCCCTGGACCGTGCTACAGCAGTTTGTGGTTGACTTTAAGAGGACGCATGACAGCAATATACATTGCTGGTTTGTTAACCGTTTCCTCCCATTATCTCGTATTCCCGTGAGGGTATGAATTTTCTAAGTAGTTAGGACATTTGTATCTTGAAAACTTTTTCCGGATTTAAATTTCCGAATTCAAAGTTAACGAATTCTTTTCTTACTATTACTATGGATGTGGTTTGTGTGTTTATTTGTTACCTTTAAGCGTCTTAACAGATTTACCAATCACCATGAAAATTTATATATATGTACTATACGTATATAGAATAAGAAGAACAGGCTTTTCCTCCAGTCAGTGAATATATTCCAAATTGCAGGTAAAAGCGAGTTCAAAATTAAAAAGTCTCAACCCTCAGTAGAGGTTCAATTTCAAAATTTCTTATAATCTTTTTTGTATGAAAAAATCACTGGACTGTCTGCTCGTTTGCCTCCTTAACAATAAAAAAAAACTGTAAAAAATTGTTCGATTTTTTTTTAAATTACCAGATCTTAGGTAAGCTTCGATATGAACTCTGTTAGATAAATAACACTATCCAGCCAGCATTGGATGCGGTACATGTGGAAAACTTCGCGAACACCTGTGCCCGATTGTCAACGCGCCTGCCTCTACGTCTACGAATCCACCTGGACGTTTCAGCAAGCGTCTCTAACTGTATTATTTTATGCACTAGGTAACAACAAATAGACAGCGGGATGAATTTATTAAAAATGATCAGCTTGATGTCTATACAATACCTTTTAGAAAACATTGTCATTAGTTCCTTGCGAGTTCGTCGCAATGGGTCAACCGACCTAACTTCATCTTCAAGTACCATAATTCATTGACGCACTGCCAGCATTTACCAATAGCACAGGTTGAATTACCTTTAATTTTTTTAATTTTAACATAGGGGACCAACGTGCATACAGCTTAGATAGTAAGTAATTCCCGCCATCTATAAGCACCTGCTATGTGGTTCCGGTACAGAATCGACCACCCCTTCCTTTCCCGTGGGTGTTATAAGAGGCGAATAAGAGAACTTAATGGTCTAGGGATAAGCAGCAACGTCCTTATTAAAACATCACCAAAACCTAATTGCGGTTGCCAATCCACCTGCCAAGTATGACAACTACTGGCTAAATACCTCAAAAGTCTATATTCAGTAGTGTACGGTTACCGGCTGATATCATAGACGCCTGCAACTTCAGAGTATTTACAGGTGTGTTGATGGCCTTTTAAGAAAGAATATGCTTTTTTCTTGAAAGTAAGCTAAAGCTAAAGCTTATAATATTTAATAATTATTTATTTTATTTATTTCGAATTAGGCACACCAACGGTATACATATTATACATAAATTAATAAAAAATTTTCTGTAGCATGCTGATATGCATACCTGTAGCAGGCGTACACAACATTGATTACAGATTACATGCATATAAATGTCATAATATAATAAATTACATATTCTTTATTACAAAATTCAATATTAATAATAATTATTAGAATTATTTATTAAATAAATCTCTAATAAAAAAAACATTTCTTTGTCTCATAATATTTATTTATTTAAATAACTTAATTGACCAGAACAAAAAGCGGACTTAATGCTAGTAGCATTCTCTACCAGACAACCTGTCTGTGGCAGTAAACAATTTTATAGTTTATCACAATTTTAGTTAGAATTACACAAGCTGAAGTTATAAATTCAGTTTCTCCAAGTCTTATTATATTCTCATCAAAGTGAGCGATCCGCAGCGGTTAACACAAGGGAGGATTTGAACCTAATTGTTCACTACAATTACATGTTTTGTGTCACGCCATTGCGGTAATCCTGACACATTGCTCTCTCTATCTACTTGTGTGTTACTAAATTAAGGAAGGCTATTTACATTAAGTCTGTTTTTTTATACTTTATTTACATTACAATAAGGTTATTTAAATTAATAATTAAATTGTTAGGTAACGTCTATGTGAGAAATATTTAAGAAATTTTAACAAAAAAATCATTAAGTCCGCTATATTTCATCAAAGAATGTTTGGTCTTCCATTTTAATACGACCTGTTCAGCTACCATAAAGCAGCCTCAATTTTTTTTACTTCAAACTTATTGAGTATTCTATTAACAAAACTGAACAGTTTTATCATATTTCTCAGAAAAGTCAGTTTCTTTTTGTGGCACACAACCTTAAATTATGCGTACTGTAAAATTTGTAATTTGTTGAGAAAATTTTTAAGGCAGTCATTTGTAGCAATTGAAGTGCATCACATTAGCTTCCATCAAAATGCAATTAGTGAACTGCGCTCGAACAATTACCTATATTGCCACTTACTGGATCTCTAACACAGTGTTTTTCAAACTTTTTCATGACGCGACCCCCTTATTGTGTAAAAATATTTTTCGTGTCCCTACCCCCCACGGTTTCGAATACGTATGAATTTTATTATTATAGTACAATTATGAAATCCGTACAGTTCTATTTATATTCACAGTTAGGTAACAATAAAATTAAATAAATAATACATAATAAAGTATCTAAAACAGCCATGTAATCGATGTCTGTTATAGATACGTCATTGTATTATTGATTGATTGATGTATTTACGGAACTGTTGATTTTTCACTGCTTAGCGACCTTCCGCGACCCCCTTGTAGAGGCTCGGGGACCCCCCAAGGGGTCGTGACCCACACTTTGAAAAAGACTGCTTTAACAAACTTAAGGACTTTGCTAGAGTTTGTTTGAACAAGTTCTCTTTAAACTTATTTATTCATAGAAACATTCAAGGCACGCTAATTACGCCAACCTGAGTGGGTAACTTCCACAACGCTTGCTCGGGCACCTACTAAACAAATTTCTAATCGTGGCGCGCAGATTCCTCTATTCAATGACGAAATTTATATCGTAATTGAGCCATCATTTTTCCATTAATTGAAAAAGTTTACCACACAGGTCACGATGACAACGCTTTATGGAGAAAAATAGGATCAAAGTTTGTATGGCAAAGCGCTTTTATTAAATGATAAATTGTATTAAGAAGTTTCTTGCGTTTCATTAAGTTTAATTTGTTTATGGAGGGCGAGTTTTAAAAATTACGCAAGTATTTTTAGAGTTTTGTATTAAAAAAAAAGTTGAAATTAAAACACTAATACACACACAAAACCTTTAATAGAATTTCATTATGAAATCCCGTATTATAAGATCATCATCAGTCATCATCATTTCAGCCCTTAACTGTCCACTGCTGGACATAATCCTTCCCCATAAGGGGAGCTTTTTTGATGGGTGAAAATGGTATGGTAACTCCACCCCTCCTGCGCTAACGGGATACGCTGGCGGAGCACCAGTGAAGGGTG